TGTTTTTACGATTAGGTATAAAACCGGAGAATTTGAAGGGTGAAGGGTGGATTTGTTTGACCGTCAACGCGGAGCGTAAAGGGTGGAGTTGTCTAAGCGTAACAGTGGAGAATTGGAAAGGGTGAAATTGTTCATCTGGAAAAGTGGAGAATCTCTAGGGTAAGGCTGACATTGTCTAACCGTAAAAGCAGGCAAGCACAAGGATGGAATTGTCTAGCCGTAAAAGTGGGCAATTTGAAGCGGGTAGGGGTGGATTTGTCTACCCGTAAAGGCGGAGAATTTGAAGGGCGTAAAAGCGGAGAATGTGGAGGGTATAGGGTGGATTTGTCTAACCGTAAAAGCAGAAAATTTGAAGCATAAAAAGTATAAATTGGTCTACCCGTAAAAACGGAAAATTGGAAGGGTTAGGGTGTATTTGTCTGACCGTGTTTGCGGAGAATTTGAAGCGTAAAGAGTGGTTTTGTCTAGAACCACAGAAGCAGGGATCTAAAGCGTAAAGGGTAAATTGTCCAACCGTAAATGCGGAGAATTCGAAAGGTATGGCTGGAAGCGTGCAGGGTGGATTTGTCTAACCGTAAAAGCGAGGAATTTGAAGGGTAACGGTGTATTTTTGTTTGACCGTGTTTGCGGAGAATTTGAAGCGTAAAAGGCGGATTTGTCTAACCGTAAAACCGGAGAATTTGAAGGGTAAGGGCGGAATTGTTGAACCGTAAAACCGCAGAATTTGAAGCGTGAAGGGTGGAATTGTCCAACTGTGAAAATCGGATTATGGGTATGTAGTAAGGGATTGAGCGTCAGTTCACATAATATAAGTATAGTGAATCATGGAGCTTACCTACTGTAGCTATGTACGCTCCTAAACAGCAACCCAATTGAAGGGCTCCGAATTTGGGTCCATCGTTATCGTTTGCCCATACCCTTCCGCTTGTTGCTAAGGTCATCACAGGGGTCCGCATGTACATATGCGCATATAATCATATAATATATTGTTTGCTACCCGCCCACAAACAAATAAATATATATATCTGTAAATAAATATGTATGCATACACGCACAGATGTGTATATTTACATGTACACATATGTATACACACATGTATAAATACATGTGGAAACAAGTTACACATATATGCATGCCATAAAGGTGTCTACATCCCTGAAGCTGGGAATTTAAAGCGTAAAGGTTAAATTGTCCAACCACAAACGTGGAAAATTTGGAGGCTGAGGCTGGAATTGTCTAACCTTAAACGCGGGGAATTTGAAGCGCACAGGGTGAATCTGAACATATGTATGTCCGTGCATGTATGTATAGACAGATACGTATGTGCTGAGACAAAAAATCGAACGGATTTTGAGGATGCTCCGCACGGGAACGCAATTTTGGATGAAACATCGATGACTTTTTAAGGATGCTTCGCACCGGAGCATTTTTTCCTTCAAAATTTTCAGGATGCTCCGCACGGGGGCGGAACAAACATCCAGTTCCAATGCCCGTCGTTCAGGGATCAGGAAGGGAGGCGGTTTTTGAAAACAAAAACAAACAGGCGACTTCTTTGGGTTGTGTGTTCCTGTTGACAGAAGGGGCAGTGGCGGGCGTCGCTGGACCACGGAGGAGTCGTAACACATGACACATTACATGCCGGGCCAGCAGCTGTGCACCGGTGCGAACTGGCATGTGCCAATGCGTGCAAGGGTGAGCTCGCCCGCGCACGGCATTTGCTCACGGCTCGGAGCTTGCGCCTGGCAATAAAGCAAACTTGGCTGCTCCAACGCATGCAAGCAAGCGGCCTACAGGCGCGCGAGCCATGAACTCTTGCGCTTCCAGCCGCCCGAGCGCTTGCATCTGTCTGCCATTGCATTGCGCGTGGCTTCCGTGCGTGCAGATGTGTGGAACCCTGGGGCTGTAAGGCGTTCGGCCTGAACATTACAAATTGCTTTTGGACCATCGGCTTGCTGGCCGGGGCGGCCGCGAGCTTGGCCCAGGCAGACGTGCCACCTGAAGTTGCTGCAGGCATTGCTTTCACATGCATCACGGCCGTGCAGAAACCCGGTGGCGGGGTGCGCGGCGGCATAGCTACGGAATCCACTGGTGACACGTTCAGGCGGCTGGTCTCCTAGCTGCCGTGTGGACGCCACTCCTTGATGAGGCAACAAGGCCGCACCAGTATGCATTGCGCACAAAAGCTGGCGTGGACGCGCTAACAACCCGCCCTCGGGCTACGCTCGATTGCGACCCTGCCGCGACCGTCGCTTTGTCTGGCCACAGTGCGTATGATTGAGGAAATTGCCCAGGCACTCATACCGTGTGCTCGCATGTTTGAAGCCCACACGGGCATAGCCGCGAACCAGGGTAAGACGCGCAGCTTTAATTTTGCAAGCGGTCCCACTGCCCCGCGTGTTGCTGACCTGGGCCCGGATGTGTGGTGGGGGGACCAACCACCTAGCGAGCATGGTTTCGGGGTGCTGGGCACCCATCGGCACGGCAGACTACACCCGAGCATGGGGAGACGAAAGCCTCGCGGTGGAGGAAGCCCTCCTTCAACGACTCCTGCAAATGCCAAATTTGCGATGCGTATGATTGCTTTTGTGTTATTGCGCCGCGCCGCGTGCGAACAACGCACTTCTCATAGTCCTCCCAGCTCTGATCGCGCCGTGTGCCGCGGCACATGACGTGGCTGTGTGGGGCACACTGCAACCATGCCTGAGGAAGCCGGCTGAAGATGCCGACTGTCACGCGCGTGACATCGCCCTGCTCCCTACCAGGCTTGGCGGGCTTGGTCTTGCCCAGGCAGTCCACACATCCCCTGCCGCTGGTTGGGTTGCATGGGCCATCATGGGCCGATGCCCTTGGTGTGCTCATTAAGCCGTGCCCAGCCTTCGCAGAATGGGCTGTCCGGGCACCTGAGGGTAAAGAAGGCCCTGACTGCTTGCGAGCCGCCGACCAAGGCCGGCGCTTGGCACAATGGCCCCTCCTGGGAGCAGATTGCACATGGGGCCCAACCACCTTCCAGGGACGACGCCCCAAAGCTCGGTGCATGGAGGCACGGTTGGCAGCGCTGCGCGTCGCGTACTCCTTTTCTTCTACGACCGCGTGCTGTTGCCTTCTCTGCCTCCTCCCCACCGTGCCACGCTTCGCTCGCAAGCTGGCCCACACACAGGCGCCTGGCCCACGGCCATCCCAATGACGAAGTGATGCCCCAACTGCTGTGGCCGCCGCTGGAAACATGCAAATCGCGGCTGCTGTTGCCGCTGTCTCTACGGCGCGTCTGCAGGGACCCATCCCATCACGGATGTGGACATTTCACTGACGACCTGGGCTTGGTGCCGCGTCGCGTGCGAAGCCGTGGGCCCTGAAGGGCACGTCGTGCCCCAACAATGGATTGCCAACACTACCGCACCGGGCGTTGCCGCAGATGACCGCCGGCGACTCGACCTGGTCATCTATGGGGCGACACCGATGGGAGGAGCATTTGCTGTGATGCCACATTGGTTTCGCAGAAGCACCATCACGAGATGGTGCCGTCTTGAGCGTTGCGGAACGGAGCAAACAGGCCACGTACCCGGAGCGCGCTCAAAGAGGTGCCCAGGCCCTATGCGTGCTCGGGTGCGAAGTTGGGGAACGTTGGAATGCCTCCGCGATCTCGCTTGTGCGGCGCCTCGTCGAGCTGCGCGCTTGCCGGGCTCCACTTGCTGCGTGCGGCAGTCCAGCGCGCAGTCGGCCATGCTGCCTTGGGCCCTGCCCCCTGCAAAGTCAGTTCAGCCGCGCCTGAAAGACTTGATAGACATGGAACCTTGCTTGGCACGTTTTTGTTTGCAGCATGCAGCTCTGATGGTTCTTGCCACAGGCACAAAAGTTTACCAGTCAGTCACATGCTGCCACCCTCATGTATGTGATGGTGCCACTCTCCCATGCCAGCTGAGCTTCGCCGGGCAACACCATGATTGCACTGGCCCGCATGGAGGGTAGCATACCAGCGAAAAACAAACGTCAAAGCAGGGTACATGCACCCTCCACTCCTTCAGCAACATGCAAAAATGAGATGTAGGAAAAACAGGCATGCTTCGCCCTGAAACACTTGCTGCTGGTGCTGTGCGCCAAGATTGCTCACCAAACCGCCAAGCGTCACTGAGCTTAATCAGCACCAACACACCCGCAACGCTCCAGTGGTGCTCCGGTGAGGTGGGCCCTGCTGCACAAGCTTTCCGAAAGTTCAGTAGGTATGAGAGCATGAGACTTCCCAGCAAAAGAATCTTCTTGCCAGAGTGGCCTATACCTTTCAGGCTGACAAAATCGATTTTCTGAGCATCTTGTTGGCAACTCATTCCAAGGCTGGTGAGACGGGCCACTGATGGTTGGTGAATATTCACCTAGGGGTGATACCACCGACCCACCTGCAACATGAGTAACACTCTCTGGCTCCAAGATGTCTGAACACTATACCCTGGCACAAGCTTGGTGGAATTCAACAGGTGAAGGAGCATGGACACCCTCACTGTGAAACGAGTCTTCTTTCGGCTCAGATTTCTGTGAGCCTGCAAGCATGCGCCAGGCTCTGGGATAAAGACTGCAGCCGGCCATTACTCCGCTCTAGAAGGAGTCTGTTGAAGCTTTGGCCAAATTCCTGACATGTCCCAGCCTGGGTTCTAGGATGCTGTCGGTAAGGTTGAGAAGAAGTACTGGCCTCAGGTTCTGTCAACTCCAAAAATTGCTGTCGGCAACAAAATGCTAAGAGCCCGTCACTCCAGCACTCCGTCCTCGCAGCATGAACCACGAAACGCATGGTTGCTAACACGCGGCACATCACCAAGGGGAGACCTTTTCTCAGCACACCCGCAGACCTCTGGCACCCTCTTGTGCCTCAGTTTGCTGAAGCCTTCCTGCTCGCTGCTCTTTGTCGATCAGTCTTGCCACTCTTCACCTTCTTCATCGACTGTCCCGCTGTAGTGCATGGAGCCCGTTGTCTAAGTTGACCTCCTTGCGTTGATCGTCAGTGGCAGATTTCATTTCTGAGTGGTCTGACTGCGTGCGAACTTATCAGCTTCGGCCAGCAGCCACCTGCCAAGAGAAGATGAAGGAATTCCGCCGGGGCAAGATCATTCGGGAACTACAAGGCAAGGAACAAGAGGTCAGATGACAATGGGGATTCTGTTCAGGGCTGTACAAGATAAAAACCCATGCAACGAATTGATGAGCTACTTCAAAGCACAACAACTCAAAAATGTACAAAACACGCGGTTTTAACGTGCGTTCTTCAAGGACGCTGTACAGCATCTTTATTCTTGGATTGACTCATGCTTCGGAAGGTGTACAACCACCCACTCCTATCTCTCCAACCAAGGGCTTTCTCACTGCGAGGACCCCAAAAGGTGAGACCCGTGCTTTGTAGAAATCCCCTACACCCCAAACCAAACCACATCGCCACTGTAGGGAGAATCAGCAACGTGGAGAACCCGCCTGACACCAGCCTCAAGGCCCTGGCCCTGTAGGGCACAGCAAGGGTGGACATGGAAAGGCCGTTCACTGAACAGCCGCTCGAACTCGAAGAGACGCGACAGCTCCTTTCGTCAAATGGGTCGTCGTCATAGTAGTAATAGTGGCCGACATAAGGAGGATAGTAACAGTAGTAATACTAACGGTAATAGTAATGATCATGATTCCTCTCTCCAAGCCATACTGCAACATTGAGACCACGTGCGGAAATTGAAAGGAAATTCAAGAAATTGTATGTGACAAAAAATGCCAGAGTGACAAGGGTGATTGTCATTATCATGATCTTCATCACCACCGTCAACATCATCAGGTATCTAGTACATGAAACACTCCGAATAGTAAGGGCTGAGACCAGACTGACATGACACTCATTCTCCAACCCAACATGGTGCAAGGGAATGATGCCAAATCCCTAAACCCTAAACCCTAACCCTAAGCCTGAAACCAAAAGCCCCACATGAGCCATAGTCTAAACTCCTAGTATCCCCCTTAATAACCCCTATAGTACCCTCCTATATAATCCCCTATATACAACGCCTTTTTAAGGAGTTTAGACTATAGCTCACATGGTAGCCTAAGCCAGTCCTGAATGCTCAGCGCCTCAGGCTTGTCCTGCTTGTTTGCCAAGCACAGCAAGGGCACGCCTTTGAGCTTGTCGTGGCTAATGACTTCCACCAAGGTTGCCTGCGGGGTAAGCATGAGAAAGGATGTGTAGAACACATTTTTTGTAGTTATACACGGATTGAACTAGGATAATATGAAAGCTATGTCAAATGATTTACAGAGGAGCTGCAATGGAATAAATCACTTGAATAAGAACCATTGCCAGCTCACATTGTAGCTGTAATTCGGGGCATGAGAAAGGAGAAAAATATTGGCCGCCTTGGACTCTTCAATCCGGGTCGGGTCTGCGGAGTCCACGATGAACATGACGCCTGCTCCGCGACAAGCAAATACAAGCAGCCCACTTTCTGGAATACTTTGCCGAAAAGCAAGGAATCCAAGCTGGAACCTTCAGCAGAACAAGAAAGGCTACCGCCATATCGCCTTGCACTTCGGAGTAGTAGTTGTGCCACACGGATCGGAACGAGGCGTGCCCACCCAAGTCCCAAAACACGGCGATGACCTGTCCGAGCATATTGGGTGCAAGATGGGCACATGCTTGAACATGGGGCCCCTGGAGGGGGTCTTTCCTTAGGCGCTTCTCAGATTTCCACTGCAGGCTAGACGGAGATGGAAGAGGGACAGCTTTGGATCCCCTCATGACCCACCTTTCTGGCCGTTTTGCAGCTTTTTTCGGGTTCCAATGACAACCCTAGATCCTAAACCTTAAAACCCTTAAACCCTAAACACTAAGACCTGAGACCCTAAACCCTAAACCGCCCTGGCACAGGGCGTGGACAGCAGGAAATTTCTCCAGGCCTTGTCAATCTGAATCCGGCCAATGTTGAAGCCAATGGTTGGTGGAATCCTGAAACATCTGGGGGTTTCCCAAAATTAGGGGTACCTCCCAATAATAAGGACTATAGTCTTTTGGGGTCTATATTGGGGTCTCCTTATTTTGGGAAACTACCATCTAGGGTTTTTATGACAGCCATGCGCTTCCGATGCTTGCTGCAAAGATTGAATTTTTTTCTAGGGTTTAGGATTTACGGTTTTGGGTTAGGATCGTGGAATCCTGCAACAGGTGAATCACAAAGAACTGGTGTCTCCACAGACCCCAAAAGAGGGCCCAACATTAGTCATCGGTGATGCTAGGATCCAAAAAAAAGCCCCACCACGTTAAGAAATTCCGATATCGTCCCGCACCATTTGACACCCTAAACCCCAAACCCAAAACCCCAAACCCCAAATCCTAAACCTTAAACCCGAAACCCTAAACAGCATCGCCTGGACGAAATAGCCAGGAACCAGAGAGGAAACAACACGCGACCCTTTATAATTTCTAGCGACCCATGACTACCCCCACATACTCCTTGTCCTTGTCAAATCCTTGGCTACATTCCTCTGCACTTACCGTAATCCTACTCAAGTCCTCTGTACTCCTCCCCTTCAAGCCCTTATCAGCCCCAAACAAGGACCTTGCTTTATCCAAGCCGTCACATGGGGCCTGTCGGGCGCCATGCCTTTTAAGCCAAAGAGTGACTTCAGCTTCTCCAGGGTGGTCGTCTTGCCAGCATTGTCTACGCCCAGCAGAACCATGCGGCGCTCCTCTGGTGCATTTACATTGCTACTAGGGTTTAGGGTCGAAGGGCCTACCTTTTTTGCCTTGCGCTTTCTGTTGGCCAGCAGCAGTCCTCCTTCTGCAGAAGCCATTGCCAGAGACCACAAAGAAGGCTGAACATGTGCGAAATTCCTCGGCTTCCCCAAACCAAATCTCGCCAAATCCACGTAAACGAGTGTGAAAGCAGCTGTGCTCACTCTGCAGTCAGGCCAAGTGACAGCCAATCTGCCTAAAACACGAAGACTTCGGGTTCTCGCTGCCCCCTTGTTCTCAGCACGGGCTGGCTTCTTCCATGGCAAATCTCTGGATGATGACACCCACGACTGGTATGATTGCAGTAAGGTTGCAGGCTGTGTTGGCAACCCCAAAGTTACTGCATGTGCACGAGCAAGGCCTTCGTGACATAGACACACGTGCTTGTTTGGATTGTTCATGTCTAGGTGTGAGCCAAATGTGAGCAGTTACTCTCTTTGCAGTCTGAGATGCAAGCTTCATCGCTTCTATGTGGCAGGCAGTACTCGGTAGGAAAAGAAGGGAAACCAGTAGAAACACCTTACCGGGATCCCAGGAAGTTTTAGGGTGGCAGCCTCTGGGCTCAGAACCTTCTGTCATTCTTGGCGGTAAGATGTTCCTGCAAAACCTTGACACGTCTCAGGTGGAAGTTAAGGCAGGAGTGCTACAGAAAACGGCAGCAGTGCTTTTGCAGCGGGCACGGATACAAACGCAACACATCTCCGACTGGCTTTCATTTACTAACAAACAGGTTCATTGCCACCTGGCCTCAAATCATCTCAAATCCGGAGCCCTCCAATCCAAGGCCCGCGTTAGAAGGAGATTTGTTGACTTATAGAAGCCAAACATGCATTCTCATTGTGACAGTAGCAATGAGAACATTGGTAGAGATGATAATGAAGAGAAATCTAAAGCCAGCGGCAAGCCATAAAGGCTACAGTAGCCAGATGACTGTGATGGCGATCATGATGATGATGGTGATGATGAACAATCACGATGACACGGACAAAGGTGGCACGCACATAGTAGGACTAAAAAAAGAAGTCCTCTGCAAGATCTGTGCAGTGCACCACGTTGTGCACGTTGTTGCGGCCTGCTGGAACAGCTGTATCACAATGACACCCGCTCCACATATGCTTGAAAATGGTCACACTGTTGAGGAGAGCTCTTAATCCAGGATCATTCTATGGCGCACAAGTTGTCGGGACATCTGCGCAATATTGACTAGTGCCGACTTCCCACACATTAGGAGTGGGGTGTTGGGGATGCATTGACATGCAAGATTAGCAACACTGGCAGGGGAAGGTTTGCTACATTCCAGCATCCAGCATCTGCAGCATCCTGAGCAGCCCGCCGTGGCAAGCACGGATCGTGTTGGGGCGCAGATGCCTTCGGATTTCGTGCTTTGATTTTCGATTTAAGGCTTTGCGCTGGAAATGGCCGAACAGCTAACTCCTTTGCTACCATGTAGCCTGTTAGAGGAATTGTTTACAGTGCTGGCAAGTCCTGGCGAATTCAAAATAACAAGGTTGAACCCCCAAAAGTTCTCAATTTCGCCCACGTGGTATGTTCTGCAAACCAGGTTCCCACATAAGCAGACTTCCTAAAGCAACAACAAGAACCCACGATTCTTCAGACACTCCTTGACTGCCCTGGCCCTTGACACCACCTCCTGGGCACTAAACCCCAAGCCCCGAACCCATGACCAACATTCCGTGTATTGTGAATACTACATTACTACACCTACACAGCCACTGCTCTGCTGAGTGCAGGACTTGGCAATTTCGATGTCAAAGGGTCCGCATAGCTCTCGCAGCCTCCATGGATATCTAGTTGGTAGTGATACAGAACAGATGATGACACCCGATGATTTTCAGCAACGCTGCTACTTCTCCTCCCGCTGCTGCTACTACTGCTTCCACCCCTGCTCCAACTCCCATTTCCACTGCGAGTCTCACTGCCAGTCCCTCACCGACTCAGATTGCTATCACGACCTCCGCCAGTGCTGCCGCCGCCGTCACCGCAGCCCCGACCACGGCCACGACCACAACGGTGATAACGAAGATGGTAATTACGAGTACTTCCTTGTTGTTCTACTGGTACTACTCTTGCGATGACACCACCACCACCACCACCACCACCACCACCACCACCAGCTGCACCAGCACCACGACGATTGCAACTACGCATGCAACTAAAATTATGACTAGACACGACTACTCAAAGTAAGCGCCATTGCCAATGTCACTGGAAAGTCGACTCATGCTGGTGGCACTTATTTTTTTTTGTAGCTGTTGTTGCTGCCGCGGAAGTAGAAAAAATAGGCGCGGCAGCACTCGAGGCGTAGTGGGCATAATACTACCAGCAGGCGGCGCACTTGCAGTAGGAGCAGCGTAGCAGCAGGAGTAAGGAGGCAAGAAAACCACTTCACAAATGCTTGAGTGTGCCACCTTGGCACCACGTTGTCGCCTCGAACCTGGCCAAAAATGCCCCGTTCGCGGGTAACTTTGTAAGACCTACAGACACTCGCCATCTTTCCTTCGAAGATATACACACCCAACCCTTATAGTGTTTGTGGGGCCTGTCCTGCAAATTATGGAACCTCTTTGGCATCTTGCATGACAGCAGAAACTTGTGTTGTAGTGGAGCGACATGCGAATTCAGGTCTGAAATTCGAGGCCAAACATGTGCGGTTTTGGCGTGGCTTGCTGGAGTTCATCCGCACTACAAGGACCAGAAAGAAACCCCTGAAATTGAGATATTCCCGCACTACTGCAGGGGCCGAAAAAACATTGACCCATATTGTGGTTGAACACCCTCAGAAAAGAGACTACTTACATGTCATTTGTAATTGTCAGAAAACAGAACATGAAGCCAGGGACTTAGATTGCCAATGTTGCTACATGACATTGGAGCCTGGACAATCCGACTCGGCTTGAAGGGTATTCTTCTACCAGACATACGTCAGTGGACATATTTGTTCAAGTTGTTCATTCAACTCCCAAACCATCCCAAAACCTTGCCCCAAACCGTAAGCTCATGGGTTCCAAGACTGCCCCCCCTTTAATTGAGGCTATTTCAGCCAGAGCCTAAACTCCTTAAAGGGTGTTTTATATGGGAGTATGATAATTACTGGGGTTATTCAGGGGACACTAGAACTTTGGACTACAGCTCATTTGAGGTCAACTGGTGCTACAGCAAATTCAGGCAGAACCTTCGGGTGGTACTATAGCGGGGTAGTAGGGCGACCAATGATAAACCATGAAACCCAAAACCCTAAAAGCATGAAAGCCTAAACAACCGAAATTCTCAAAAATATTGTTCCTTAAAACCTCAAGGCCTAAAACCATAAAGTGCTATGACTAACTATAACTCTACCCTCACCCTCAAAACCCTTGAAGCCAGAAGAACCACCAAATATCACCAAATGATTCAACCCACCCTCAACCAAAAAAAACAAGCAACCCTAAATACCCTTACTAGACCAAAGCAACCCCAAATGAACTGTAATCTCAAATCCCGAAACACTGGTTATACAGGGGAGTATAGGGGATTATAAGGGACTACTAGAGGGGTGACTAGCCCAAAATGCCAAAATGCCTGCAAATAATCCAGAATATCCCTTAAAACCCTCAAATATATAGCCCTGAATCATCCCTTAAACGCCCCAAAACCTGCCTCCATAGCCAGGCAGAGGCCTGAGGCCAGCTCGGTGATCATCGACGCATATTGCGCCTCGGCGCAGGCAGGTTGAAATCCGTGTTTTAGGTCCGTCCCCCCCTTACAGTGACAGTTACGACCGCACCCAAAAAGGAGTTCTAATGGCCCCCGCTTAAATCCCCTGTGGGGCATGTTTCTGTAAGAAAAATTATTTGGAAGTTGGGGTGGTAGGTTTTAGGGCTGAATTAATGGCTTGTCTTGGCTTTAACAATTCTATGGCGCATGTCTGAAACCTCTTCTGATTAGAGGTAAAGAGGTCAGAGTTTACGCGAATGTACTGAATATGCAAAAATTATGACGTTACTCAAGGCAGTGAGAATGACTGGCGTTTAATCAGAGACTCAGGGCTACTAGCTACAGCGCCGGGGTCACGGTGCCAACTGGCGAACTACAACACAAAGGAGGGATATGTCATGCTTCGAGCCTGCAGCATGCGAGGGAACTACAAGTTGGCTGGGTTCCTTGCACTGGGAAGAACCGTCTTGTAGACCTCATATTTCACGCGGAGGCATGAAAGAAGCAAGCTGTTGAATCATCTTTGACCCCGGCCTCGTAGAAATTCTCAGCCTGACTTTTGAGAAGCACGAACGTCTGCATTGCCGATATCTGCAACCTCAAGTGGTTCAAGCTTCAAGCCCAAGATGAAGCTTCCAGAAGCAGCGTGGCAGTTTGGCAAAAACGAATTCTGGCTGGGACCTCTAGAATCCCAAAACCCCGATTCCCCCATTTCGGGAAATCCCCAACATGTCGGTGCTGAGTCCCTGACCCTGCATTCAGTATTGCTGAAATGACAGAACCAACCTGTCGAATCAAAGGGTTCAGCCCGGCAAAAGAAGATAGGATGGATAGCGGCTGCCTTTCCTTCCCGAACAGCATGAGGCCTTGATGCAAAGCCAGTTGGCACATGGCATCCAATGCAAAGCTGACAGTATTCCAGCATCAGAAAATGTGTCATGAGTTCCACGCCTGACAATGCACAAGGAGCAACTGTCAAAAGTTGCTGAGCACTCTTTGCTCGCAAACACCTGCAGCCATTTTTGCAGACTCACCGCCCTTGCAACTCATCTTGAAGATCGCGCCTTCTCGCTTTCCAAGCCAGCGGCGTCGACGTGAACAGCCTTCATGCACGTGCAAGGAACAGCTGTCAACCACGACCACGCCCCAGAAAACTACTTCCTTTAGGAGCTGTACTCGAGCAGCATCCTCGCTAAGCGTTGCGTTCACTGCCTGCAAAATTCATTCTTCCATTGCCAGACTGCTTTAAGGACAACACACAGAAGCCTCTCGCCAGGTCTCAACGCCACCTTGACCTGCAAAAGGGATCTTTTCTCCACCCTTTGACGTGAATGACGTATTGCTCACCGCAGCCCCTGGGGGTCGTGCCAACCAGTTCTACGTGCACGCTCATGTCTCCACTTGGGAGAGTCTTGACCTTTCATCATCACAAAAAAGCCGAAATTTGGCGAAAGCATGCTTCCACATGAAGATGCTTAGCACAGGGCGCGCTTGATTGTGAACCCTCTGTCATGGGCTGCTGTGAAAAGATTGCCAAGATCTCCGTGCGCAGCACCCCCTATGACGGTGTAGACCTTGCAGCGCGGGCAACCCTATCATACAATATCATAAAAAATTATGGATGAAATGCTACGTATTAAAACAAGAGAGACTTTCATGCTTCACAGCACTACCAGACGTACCAGCAGAGAGCTTCGCATGCTGTAGGGCCTGTTCGCCATTTTTATCGAACAGTGATCGGGTTGGCACGTCGCCATAGGAAACAATCCTTGGCTGCTTGATGGTGTGTTCTTCTCAAGAACATGAACTTTTGGAGATACCAGTTATGTTTTACAAGTGCGGCTCCTTAGACCCTAAGCCCTCCCGCAAGAAGCACTCAAGGTCACAGAGTAACTCAGGGCTGCACTTCAGCTTTCGGGCACAAACGGTCAGCTCCGCGCCCTCAAGATTTCACTGGGGAAGTGAGGGGCTTTAGGGTGTGGGGGGTGAAGGTGTGGGATTTGGGGTTTTTGGTTTAGGGTTTAGGGTGTAAAGTTTAGGAGTTTTTGCATCGCTCCTGTGCGCCTGTTGCAGATGTTTCGACAAGGTGTAAGGTTTGGGATTTAGGTGTTGTTTTAAAACCTGCGGACTTTCACGTCCGCACCGCAGAGGTCTTTTGAGTTCGTCTGGGTGAAGTGATGCAGAATCGAAGGCTTCTGGACCACCACACGCAACACACCACCACTCGGGGTTTAGGGTTTAGGTTTCAGGTTTTAGGGTTCAGCAAGTGGGATTTTGGCTTCGGGGTCTTGCCAAGCAAGACGAAGGATGTTGTGAGAAACGCGAAGTCGAGAATTTTGGGTTCTTTCAGTGCAACGTGGCACACCCGCAAGAACCGAATACTAGTGAACCCAAGCCGGACTGAAGCTGAAAGCTTTTGTTATTGGAACGGACGCAAACAGAAAAACTTCGGTTCAGGGGTTTAGGGCTTTTAATATGCAACTTTGCACTGGAATTGGGGTTTGGGCTGAGGATTATTGTTTAGTGTTCAGAGTTTAAGTCTAGTCTGAAATGTCCTGAAGGTCGAAAACGCATGGAAAGTCACCAGAAACATCCACAGGAAAGAGAAGCCCAGAAAAGTCAACAAAGGCGCGACAGGTCTCGAAAGCCCAAAGACGTATGAAGGTTACGAAAAGTTTCAGAAATTCGGAGTTGCTAATGGAAACACAACCTGGTCCAAACGGTTCGAAAAGCGGCGAAAAGGTGCGATACAGTACCGTAGTACGACTGTAGGACTCTGCTACTAGGCCTGTGCGCGCGCATCATTGGACCTTTTCGTGGGATCATCAGCATTGAAGGGACCAATTTGGTTTATGGCAGTTACGCAACATAGAGGAACACCTCTTTCTATCCCAGGATCCCCAAACATGAAAACTTACACAAGACCCTGTGATCCTCTCTCCCTATGACAAGTTTGTGAAGCAAGGCGGTTCCTGATATGATGGGACGCGCAAGGGCTGGTACCAAAATCCCTGCTCAGCCCTACCTTCCAAATGCTCAATGAAGGCTGAAATTTTGAACCAGAATGAACCATTCGGCCAAGGGCTGGACAATGAACAAATCCTCCAGCCTGAAAGCGCCATCTTGGTCGTAAACCTGAGCATGGGTCGCTGTTTACAATTTTGGAAAACAACGAAGTTGACAAAAACATCGTGGGGCTTAGACATACCAAATGAAATTACGCAAAAACTCTTCATGGTTCCCACTTAGCGGAACGTTGGTATTGCTTGTGAAAACACGGAGATGTGCCAATAAATGGCTCTTTCCAAAAACACTCACCATGCATTTTGGGTGCCTTTTCTGAAGCCTCTGTTCGGGAATGCTGCTTAGCCATGCCATTCCTGGCAACAAGTTGCTCCGAGCGCACGTGACACAGAACCACGAGCCGGGAAAGATTGGACAAGACTTTGGTGTGCCTAGAGACCAGGCCCGATCTAGACCCGAGAATACTATCATCCATATTACGGGGCACCCCCCAAAAAGGTACCCCGAATTCGGGGAAACCCTCAACCCTATAAAATCCCCTTTGTAATCCCTGTTTCAATTTACTTTTCCATGTTCTTTTCCATTTGATTCTCGATTATAATAAGTACACCTAACTTGGGGAAACTGCCACTCGTACACCTTGGGATCACTACAACTTGTGGGCTTCGACATTCGCAATGTCAGTTGCCAGCTGATTCCCATCGTCATCCCAATCCATTATTCTTGTGTAACCTCTATATTGGGGTTATGTAGCGATAGTGGAAAAGAAAATGGAAGGTACTACAGTAGTTTCCATTTTGTTTTCCACTCTCCGTATATAACCCCTAGAATATGGTAATTTCCATTTTCCCTACAACACCCCTACATCCGCAGTCTTGCAACCTGGCAGCTCCCCGTTTCAAGAACAGGCGCTTGGACTTCGTGTCGTACCTGAGGCACATACGGCTCAAGTAATACTGCCGACTTCACATATTGCAGCGATGTCAGAAAAACACGCAAAGGTTTTGCAGAATGGAGGCGTTGCAGCTGCATCACACATGTAAGGCCAAAGCAATGACAATTCATTCGGAGAGCCGTTGTGTTTGCTGTACACAGTGAGGAGGAATTCCTGGCGATAACCCATGGCAAATCGTGCGCGCACACAGTTTGCAGAACGTAACCCTGCACTGCCTTTGTCATCTGGGATGCCTCTTGCACGTGTTCACCTCAGCAGAAACACAGCAGTCGGCTGTTGACAGAACCACAATTTCGTTGGGGCAGGGACATACGAAATTGTACTTGTATGCATCAGACATTTTGGCCTGGTTTCAGCGGACAAGCAACACAAAATGCACCACTGCACCACAAAGCGCACACAGGTCAACGAGCACAAGGTGAAGTTCCTTCGTCTGGCGGCTGCGCGCGATCTAGGCATACAGGAGAACTTACAAAGTTCAAGCTTGTGTCACATGCTTCGTCATCGGACTCATCGGTGTTTCAAGACATGTTTCTGGCTTCATGGCTGCAATGAACTACATGCAACACAAATTGAGCCCATGGCTATGTCTATGCCAACAAAGTTGGTCCCCAATGGCATGTGGAAGATGTGCATTTCATTTTCACTACACAATCGCAGGCGAAGGCATAATTTCCGAAAAACATGTTCCGCTGTGCGACACAAACCCAGCATCGAAGATAGAACTGAACTTTCTGAAATCACTCACACTCGCATGGCAAATTTCTAACAAGAAGAACGAATGTACCCGCAGAGCCAACAACATCGACACGGACGAGCGCCGAATACAGCCACACAATGTCACGCATGATTTTTCTTGAACGCCAACAAAAATTTTCACAATCCTACCAAAACCCTTAAAATCCCTCTCGAAAATTGGTGGCAATGATGCGCGGCTTGCACACATGGGCACGCCTTAACCCGCCGCTAGGCTAGCCAACAAATGCAATGCGTTTGGGTCTTAACAGTGTTTTAAAGCCAAGCCGGGCCAAGCTGCATTAGTAAAATCAGTGCCAGCGAAGACAGCAAACCGTGCTGGTTCAAGCATGCGGCAAAAAAAACCGCACGCAGTTGTGGTGCCCGCTGTTTGGATTCAAAACGTGGCATTTCAAGCCTCGACTGGTTTTGCTTCGGCGTTTGAGTTGGCATTTTTCTGGGTGCAATCAATTTTCACAACGTGAACATTCAATCTGAAACCATGATGCTCGTTTGTGCCACGAAACTCGGGAGAACTTACAAAGTTCAAGCTTGTGTCACATGCTTAGTCATCGGACTCATCGGTGTTTCAAGAAATGTTTCTGGCTTCATGGCTGCAATGAACTACATGCAACACAAATTGAGCCCATGGCTATGTCTATGCCAACAAAGTTGGTCCCCAATGGCATGTGGAAGATGTGCATTTCATTTTCACTACACAATCGCAGGCGAAGGCATAATTTCCGAAAAACATGTTCCGCTGTGCGACACAAACCCAGCATCGAAGATAGAACTGAACTTTCTGAAATCACTCACACTCGCATGGCAAATTTCTAACAAGAAGAACGAATGTACCCGCAGAGCCAACAACATCGACACGCACGAATTCTGTGTGGTTGCACTGCTCCTGTCCAAGACCTACCTCAACAAGCAGGCAAACAGCACTCTCCTTTTTTCCCGAAAGCTCTGCGAAGGGTTCCTCGTCAAAAAGCGTCTGCCTTGCACACACCACCACACTTACACGGCTCACCTACACACCACTACACTTACACTGCTGCCCTACACTGCGCCACCAAAGCACATGACACTGGGCTGCGTAATAGTGCCATCCAACTTTGGGAAGCGGAGACGCAGGTGTGGCTGGAGACCCAGCAAGTTTAGGGTTTAGGGTAAATTAGGGCTTTGGGCCTTGGATTGAGGATTTGAACAAGTGTAAGTTTCACTGCAGATAAGAAAAGCCGATATCCAATCCCGAAACACGCAAAACCCTACTCACCCTACTCTGAATCGAATCTACTCGTGTTTCCTGAACTTTCGCAGCCCGAAGTAAAACCTCCAAACTTGACCCTTCCCGAATCCAGCCCGAACCTGAAATTGCAAACTTAACCCTGCTTGCCGGTTCTGACACACCCTCAGACACTTGACATGAAATCTGAAGTTGAAGGGTCAAAAACAAGTACATCAAAGAAATGAAATAATTCCCTACGCACAGAATGCATTGTATGCCTGCTTGCACAAGGGATATGACATGTTGTTTGGATTATAAGGCTGCCGAGTAAGAAGGGTTTGAGGCTAAGGGTTAAGGGGTAAAAGTTCAGGTTGAAAGTCTGCAGGTCCCAGCCGTCATCACAATAGGTGAGGTGTAGAAATCCTGTGTTTGCCAATGTCAACGGAGCTCGATCGCCCCTGCACCCCAGACCCTAAAGTTGAAACACTAAAGCCTAACCCTAACACTAAACCTATTTTGGATTATACAGGAACAAAGTCAGCCTTCTCTTGCAGCTAAGAACAATTTGGGCTGCAACTTCGTTGAAACCTAGACCCTAAACCTAAACCCTACTAAACCCTACGCCCTAACCCTAAACCCTACTACCTCACCCCAAACCCTACACCCTAACTCTAAACCCTAACACCTGTGCCCTAAAGTCTAAACCCTACAATCCAAGCCTAAAACCTAACTCTAAGCCCTAAGCCTAAACCCTAAACGAAGCGACAGACTTTTCAAGCCAGCACTGCATCCAGGAGTGCAATCAGCATGCAAGAGCCTACCTGGCAAAGATGCATGGAGTTCCCCAAACGCTGGACCACCTCGCGAAAGCTGTGTGCATCGAGCACTCGAAGCACACTGTCCGGCACACAGTCAGTCTGAACCATTCGTAGCTACTGGCACACCTTGCACTGCCAACAGCTCATCGGGCAGAAGCAACCTTTCGCCAGCAAAAAATATCGATCCGGCTGTTGCGCATGACCGTTGGGATATAGTGCGCAACACTGCCAAACTGCACAGTTTGGACCACATCAGCGAAGAAATCAGCTTTTGGCCCCAAACCTCTCTCACGCAGCTCTGCACGAAAAGCCTCCGTGCGAGTTTTGTCTGCTACATCCATGACCATCTTGCACCAACGCGGACGACCATCAGAACGAGCGGGGAGTTTGCGAGCATCGGCAAGGCCCTGAATAAAAGCCTCCACTTTTTCTTGCCCAGCATTCAGGAAAACGCTGCCAGTCACCTCCAGCGTGCGAAAGGCGACAGCAGCAAGAGTTTCTTTTGTTAGGGGCAACGTCGGCTCGCCAGGACCCAGCTTTATCAGAACATATTCCGTTACATGACTTGGCTTGCAAAGCC